GATCCCAAACCAACTAAGAGGAGGCGTACGAACCAAACATATCCATGATTTATTGGTTGTGTCAGTGGTCATCGGCTCAATTGGGCATTGAGGTGTATTGAGGATCTTGGACGTTTGACCCCGGCCAAAGAGCGCATGATCCAATGAACTGGATACCGACCCCCAATGGAATGCGGTTTTCAATCACTATTCCGGTGCCTTGCGGTCAGACTTTGCCGAGTCAAATACTCCGATTATACATTCTCCAAGAAAATTTAACTTTCTTGGCCTGGGCAACCTGGCAGTATTCAGCACCCAAGCAAATCAGAGAGATTTTTCTTTTCATAATGATTATTGTACTGAGATTTGTTTGGAGCACAGTTTGGACTCATACAGGTCTAATCAAAACTGACGCAACGGGTCCCTGTGAAACACTTGTGGGTTCGTTTAGGCACCAGCATTTATACTGAAGTAAATTTGTCTTCCAAATAATGATAAACGAGTCTTGGTGAGTCATTATAGCATTGATTTTCGTGATTCGTTTATACTCATCAGATGGGATGGTTCAGAATTTAGTAAATACTCCCATTTCGTCAGAAGTGGTTGACATAGACCATGATGAGTTAACAGCTAACTAAAAAGAATAAAACAATTTTTATTTACAACAAATTAAAATTGATAATAATTAGGATGTAAAGTCTATGTACACTAATAGCCGATTGGTCTAACTCATAACAAACAACCGAGATGATAAGGGTTTTTGGAAATAATTTGGGATAATTCTGAAGTCACCCCTATTAGAATATATTGCGTTGTCATACTTGATAAAGTTTGCAATTTTCATGTTGAGATTATTTAATCTTGGCAACCAGCGTTAGGCACGTTTAATTGACAGTCATGCAGCCTAGAAACTACGTAAATCGAAGTAGACAAGAGGTAAATCATTGTCCATACCTAAAGAATTAATATAGGTGATACATATAGTAAAACGGAATTTGATCAGAAAGAAAATACTTTAGTGCTTCACAATCGGCCAGTAGTATATATATATCCGATAGGTAGACAACATCTTTGTAATGCTAACAACAGTAAGAATAGAACAATTCCATGATTATATAAACCAGGTTATTCCAAGAACATCATTTACCCAAAAGAAAGGGCTCAACATGAGGCTCCCTTTTTTGGACGTCCTCATCATACGAAAACCGGACAGAAACACAGAAACCATTGCGTATAGGAAAACGACAACAACCAATCAGTTGCTGAACTACGACAGCAGTCAGCCCATGTGTCACCTAAGCAGTTGTGTGCACACTTTGTTCCTCCGTGCAGACACCTATTAGAGCACGGAAGAACTCCGGTATCTAGGAGGAATGCATTTGTTCCTTCAGTTCCTTACAAATGGATACATCAAAAGTTTTGTTCAATCATGCCTTAGAGAAAAAAGAAAATCAAAGAATGAAGAGAAGAAAATGAAACTCTTACTACGATAGATACGAGGGATATAAGAAGCTGTCAATCACATCCTTCGCTCTCTGGGTGCTACAATTACCTGCAAAACTATAGTAACACTGCGGTCAATTTTCTTCAACGGCAAGGACCACGTAGAACCATACAACCAATCGGGGCTGGTGTACGCAATTTCGTGCCTAGAGTGGGACCAACGTTACGCAGGAGAGATAGGCAAACAACTGCGTACCCGCCGACATGAACACACACTACGACGAGCTTGCCCGAAGTCGCACCTCTGGAACCGCTGCACAACGACAGACAACGAGGTCAGAATGAACAAAGCAAAAGCAGTGGCAAGAGCCAAGAGGAAAATCTGATCCCTGAAGCGCTCCATTCGATCAACTCCTTGAATCGACACGTCGAAGTCTACAAGTATTAAGCAACGATTGTACAACCAATGAGGAATGCGGGACTGGTGGACAAAACGGTGACACAAACCACAGCGCCAGGCACAAGCAGAGACATTTCATTCACACACTAGAGTTTGACGAGTCCTAGTCTGGTTCGAAACTTTACAATAAATACCATCACCACCACCATATATATATATATATCAGTCAGGTTGTGAATGTTTCCAACCGAGTCATAACCCCGGAGGTTAGTGCTGAGTTGAGCAGGGTCCGTGGCCCGCAACAAACTTTCAAAGATGGGTTGTGCTATATCGTGTAAATAGAAAATGAAAAACGGTCTGATCAGCTGCTCGGTGGCGTAGTGGGTAGCNTCGATCCCCAGTCGGGTCGATGGATTCGCACTGCTGATGAGACCCAACCAGGTCGAAACAGCTGTCCAGTGCTTCCGAGCTTTTCAGTTCACGCTTCATTTGCTATATACACGACGAATTTCCATTTCAAATATATATATATATATATATATACTTCAAAATTCCATTCCCTCAAGATGCAGTGCTTGATTCTGTAATTCAGCGGTACGGTTTTCGGTAAAGAACTTTTAAGTTTCAGTTCCATCAAAGATAAAAAAGTAGTATTCACTTCTGATATGTCCTAACATTTGTCAACCATTACACACGGAATTTATATTGCATTTCCCTTCGATTTTAGATCAAATAACAGAACAGAATGCACGTTTCGACCAAAGTTTCCGACAGGTATTACCCTGCTGATTGAGATAAAATCGTTAGGCCAATAGCTAGTAAACAGTTACTGTCTCTGAGATTAGTGTGTATGTATTTCTAGTATTGATCAACCATGAACAAAAACAAGCAGACAACAGTTCTTTCTCTCCTCTAAGCAAAATACCACGTGGCGGCTATTAGTCCTTTTTGTACATAGCTCTATGGGCCTATTCCCCCAAACATGAAATCCACGCATTTTGTGATTGGGCTCGTGAAACGATTTGAGAAAATTGCATCAGCCGAGTAGCGGCACATAGTGTAAAATGTGGATAGAATAAAACAATTGCAATTATTAGTTATCCTTGTTTCCCTTGGTTGGAAAAGTGGCCTTAGGTATTTCTAATGTTCTGTGCAATTAGTGCCCTTGAATGACTATACGAAATTGATTTATGAACCGTTATATTCATGTTTTCAGATGAAATTAAAAGAGACATAAGTATCGTATTGCACTAAGCATCCTCAAAAATGAGAGAAGAATCGAGAACTCATTTTAGTAATACGCACATTTCGTGTGAATTTATTGCCTGCGGTTCGGGTGATCTGGAGCACTGGTGCATGCCTGCATGAGACTTTCAGAATGAGAAGCAATAAGAACAGCATAATTAAGTAAAAATGTCTATCCGATTGGCACTGAAAAAATGTGGCTGTAGATCATAAAACCCATCAGATNCGGAAGCAAGAGACGAGGATGGCCTGTTGTGAAATTTCGCTGAAAAAAGTGCCGGAAAACGAAACTTCAACTGAAAGGATTACGAGCGCTGTTGGGTAGATTGAAAGAGTCAAGTAAGGCCAGGAGCACAATATTTTATTGACAAAGTAATGAAAATCGGTTCTCATAGCTCGGGTGAACTGAATTCTGTTTCGCCTGTTCGCCGAGCTTGGCAGTTTGTTTGTAAGCGTTTCATCACCAGCCGAGGTGACAGCGTCAGTCTTTGTGAGATGGACATCACACAAGCACTGATGACATTACCTTGACTGGCGATTAAACGCTTACAAACAAATTGCCAAACTCGGCGAACAGACGAAATGGAACAAAATTTGGTGTCTTTCAGAGTAGCCTGATACAAACCACGTTGTTAGATCGGATTCGAGCAGAGTAAAATAATGGGTATGGACGATGCCTAACAATAGACACGCAACGAGGTGGCGTTTACTATCCAACCGGTACTTCAAGTTGATTCATCCGATGGATTAACAATCATAGCTGAATGAGTAATGAGCGCCAGGTTCCTCATGGGATAAGCTGTGTTGAGCACACGAGAGCTCCTGCTTACACATAGGACATACAAATCATCAATTTACCTACTGCTTTTGATAAACTCAACTCAACACTGCTCTCCTCTTTCCCCCTGACGAGAAAGAGTGACTTCGTCCATACGGTTGAATTTCTGATGCACAACGAATCCAACAAGACTCAATGACCTCATTCATTATTTCTCTATCAATCGAGGGTATAGGACTAAATACAGCTCGGGGGTATACATCGGGCCAAATTTGGGATGAGCCGCAGCGCGCGTATCACCTGTGAGCACGACACATGTATGTACACACCGACACACTTCACTGAATTACTCAATCAGTGTCAGTTGGGTTGTGCTATTCGGGCATCTGCGATTCTGTTTATCATTCCGAATTGCAGAGTACCACACTAGGTCCAGTGAGCAAGCCAAATTGCAGTAGACACAATATAAATTGCGGTTCAGAGTTCATACACTGGTGAAGAATGGTCTGGGACATCCAGGGTAACTTGAACCCCCGTACTTCAAGCAGCGCAACTCAATCAAAATCAACTAAACTTGATGCGACATGCTCAATCGATCCAAACCCTGGGACAAACACCTGAAAACCGGCAGAAATGCACCAATTACAGTGCCTCGAAAAGTTACCTACACTGTAAAACGTTTTGCTGCCTTTGATGAAACGGGACATCTATCAATACAGATCCCAAGATTTATCTTCCGTGTCGCTTTTGCTTATTGTTGGAGATTTTTACCGATGTGCCAGGGTAAAACATTATTTCGCTCAGTTTGTTGAAACTGTTCAAAATTCACCCAATGCGTGCATAGAACTTGTCCTATCCGGGACTGGCGTTGTTGGTGCCACAGTGATAGTGATATGTGAAAAGATGAAAACAGCAATTCAGTGTCAAGTGCAGTGCCTGGAGCCCCATTGCTTTCATCCATCAAATCCTCCTGACATAAAGAACAACAAAGTGCGACGGTTAACCCGATTCGACCGCGGTCCCTGACTGCACAGCGAGATGTCTTGTCATGCCAATTTATGCTCTCGAAGTATGAAATCCTAGCCTTCTAAGAATGCGTAGTGTTCCTTGACATGAGCAGATTGTATGGAGATGAAGAATGACTTCACATAGTAAATGGATATGTCCCGTATAGAGACTAAAATCGCAGCGATGCTGAAGGACGGAGCAGTGGACGGACGGCAGCGGCGTTTGTGTTGTTACACAGTGTTTGAGGAGGCATGTGAAAGCATAACCCAAATGTCTTTTTTTGAGCCGACCGTGATGATTGCTTCTTACTCTTTATCAGACAAGTTCACTTCCGATTCGTTTATACACACCGTTAGCTTGGCAGAAAAGTACCCATTCCTGAACATCTCACCGCATTAAGAGAATAACTGACAGTTTCTTCTCAATCTTAAGCGTTCGGCACGATTCAAACCAGCGAGCCAGGAGTTTTGCTTGTGTGAGAGAGTAGACGATGATAAAGGGCATTCGTCATAGGAACTTTCAGGCTTTTGACTCATACCAACCAATCAACTCCTTGTGAGAGGGGCAACGGTTTTTCCCTTTTCAAAAGCGCCCTCTTTGCTTCCTTTTCAGAAGGATGGTACGGGGAAATGGGACAAAATCCCCGCAGATCGAGATTCTAGCGAGAAGGACAACCGTCTGAACCGGGCTCGAACCGCTCGTAATGTAAGTCACTGATTGAATGAATACTACTGAAAAATAACTGTTTTCAATTTCAGTTTTTGCACTATTAATCACGTACCTCTGTGCGCCGGTTTTGGTTTCTGTCTTTTGGCTGTCCATTTGGAAGAAGGGAAGATTATAATTTTAAGAGCACTGTCAGAAATAAAACGGAAAGCTCGGATAGAATAAAGTTGCAAAGAGATTGAAATGTACGAGTTTCGTTGTTTAAGAAATTCAGCTATATCACTGTTGCCAAAAATCGATAACATTGATCCTGAGGTTACCCTCCGGAGATTTAAACAAAGCTAATGTGATTTAATCTCATGGTTTGGGTTTTCACACTCTCATGTCAGGTCTTAGTTCGACTATCATCTACGTGCCTCCACAAACATCACACGCCGTGGCAATTTATTTAGTGACGCCCCGACCGACGTAATCAATGAGGGTGGACCATTCGTTCCAGTGATTACCTAAAACTCTGCACCCAACCCAAGCATTGATGGTCCGATTTCAGTACGCCACTTGTGCAATGCAACGTAGACAGCGGTGTTCGAACACGGACAATTTACCTCTATCCTGTTCCCGTAGTAGCGAAGTCTCCGCTCTGTAACACAACACTGGCCAAACTGCTGCAGCTCACACTTGACCTTTCACAGACAGCCGGATGTCGCGACGGCGTGGCAGATGTGCCCAGTTAGCCTATGCCAGTGAAGTCTTCTCTATGTGCCGATGCTTCATTCTTGATGCGTCTGTTGGGTGAGATATAGCCCCCCAAATAACAAATTTTGTCCACTTGATCTACGGATTTCAAGTTAGAGATTGGGAGTTGAACCAATTCACCCATGTTGAAACATTTTACATTTTGAAGGTGTAAACGCTTGCCAACCAAGACACACTACTCGTCAAACTATCCAGAAAAGCTTGCAACTTACTTTCATTTAGCAGTATTATATCGTTGGTGTACTCCAGACAGTCTGCCCCCTGGGAGCGAATCAATGCTGCTATCCTCACACGAGGATAGGGCTGTTTCCATAATCAAATCTACAACAGAGTTGAAGAGAATGCTAGGGAAGATAACCCTGATAAACATCACTCTCTGTGGTGAACTCGGTCGAAATTGTATGTGAGGTCCGATTCGGCTATTAGTATGGACAGATAGCAAAATTTAAAGACTCCTCGGATAAACATTTAAAGGAGGGGCAGCGCTAGAGTACACAGCGGTCGACTGAGTCGAAAGCCGCTTCCAAAACGAGAAGAACAGAAATGGTGGATCTACGAAAGGAGTGTGTTCTAAAATTTGTTGAAGGGTGAAAAGGTGGTCCATGCTATCGCTCAAGTCAATAACGCTGACAATGAACCCGTGGGACACCGGACTACCTAACTACGCCACTTTCGCTCACTCTTCTTGAGCACATACTCCGATAGCAAGATTCTTCTCACTCTCTGTACATGTTGCACCCCATCTCTTCGCGCGGTCATCCTTTGGGTTGTTGATAAGTTCGCGTTCAAGGGCTTCACGTGATGGCAAATTTGGCATCTGAAGGAATGGTTTTGTGAGTGTTCAGAGTTCACTGAGTCCTTGGGCGGTTGTTCAAACTGAGAGAGTTCAGCTTTAAAGACCGATGTGCAACTGTCGCTTACATTGCATTGTGGGTATCCGTTTCCGGCAGCGTTTTTGTGGTTGTTTACCAGGTGTAGGGAGAATCTAGCTAGTGGCAAAGCGTAGTTCATATCGACGGGTGTTGACCAGTAAGAGCGGTAGTTTTGAGTGGATCTAAGCCAGCGGTAGCTGATGGCAACGTGGGTCCATCGCTATGAAGAGGCAGGCGGTTTCATTTCTTGTGGGAGAAGTTGGTGTTTTAGAGGAGCAATCTGTGACCAGCGTAAATTAAAAGCAACCGACCTTCGTTGTCGTGCGGTTAGCTAGGATCTTATGTGAACCGCTAGACTTCCTTCTGATCCCCTAAAATCAGTGAAGTCACCAGTGTCTACCACTATATCCGTTAAGCAAACTATTTGGAATAGTTGGGAAAGATTCTTGTAGAATCCATCCTCCACATCGGGTGAACTGCCATCACTTGATGCGCAAAAGGACACTATGAATAAACACAGTCACTTCGTTGTGTAGCTGTTAACCCCTACTTGACCATAGAAACTTACAGTGCACAGCCGATTACTAACTGCAATTCAGTCAAGAAGCAAGCGCTCCGCCTTGGCACTGAGCGCAATCCGGATACCAGCAACGCCGGGAGTGTCGGATGTCAAACTGCACGTCACACAAAGAGTGAAACGTGAGGTTGAGGTTTAATCATAAGAACGCAGTGGCGATTGCAGTTGGGTTTGAAAGCGAGTTCGAAGAGACGCAACATACATCTAAACTGAAAGTTTCACGAGTTCTAGTTAAGGGAGCTTGTTGGCCGATCTCGTAGAGTGCCAACATTGAATGGGCTAAGCGAACCGGGGAGCCCGGTTTATCAGTGCCATAGCTCATAACTGGTCGAATTTATTAGTTAAGCGAAACTTGTGGGTTTTTCTAGAGGAATCGTAACGGTAGCCTTCGACTCAGCAGTCTAACCGGAAACGCGGTGATGCTTAGGTCTTACGTGGGGGCGTAAGCGAAGCAGTCGTGTGGGAGCTTCCAGAAGTTTATCACTCAAGGTCTTCCGGTTTGTTTTCAGTGTTGTTCGCTGGTACACTGATGGTCTGTTGTTCGGGATCGGCCTTAGTTTCGTGCACTCAATGAGGCAGGTGGAACGTGGACAAGGTAACAACTTATTGGCTTGGGAGTGTGTGTGTGTGGGGGGGCAGCAGCTGTCCCGTGAAGTGCGAAGACTTCTTACGCCGTCAGGAAGAAGCCCTAGGTGCCCCTCGCCTGCGTCCGTCTAGTGGAGGATTTTCGACGGGTGAACCACTTCTCATGTGTTCTTACTGGAGTGACTTTTCCAAGGACCAGAGTTAATAGTCAAAGGAAGCCAGGTGTCTAAGTAGCTGGCCTCGTGAGACAGCTTTGTCTGGCCTCTACTCGCTGACCTTTCAGGAATGATGGGACCTGTGGCCGTGAGGAGCCCTCCTGTATAGCTCTCAGGGTGATAGAGATACAAACCATCATAGTAAAGTCTCGTCGTGATGAACCAATAACTAAGAGTTAAATATGAACACATTTGTTCATGCCTACTAAATGATTTGAAAAAAATTATGAACTATGAAGTAACAATCATCGACTCCATCCATTGTGGACTTTATGAAGACACATCGAAAAAGAAGGTGTGACCCACGCAACGAATGGAAACACAGTAATGGTTAAATTATGACAATCCAATTGTGAATTCACACAATGATGAGCATAGCAATTTGTTCGTCCATCCTTTCATTTTTCTGATCAAACAAATTAAAAAAGCCCTATTGGTGTCAAACAGCCTGCATTCCAATTTTTGCAATAGCACCAGTCAAGGGGGTAAAGACTCATGTGGTTCCTTCTAACCATTTCAATTTGTTAGCGCCTAGCTCGGAGGTTATGATGCGAGTTTCAGACAAATATTTTCATTATTTCTATCAGACTGGACAACCGACTGCCTTTTACACTATCTCCATTTTAGAAATGTCCACCACCAACCACCCGGTTGCTTCGCCCATTGATAAGTTGGGACAGTTCAACCGAATCGTCAAGTGCACCGTCGGATCAAACTCGAAACAATATTGAAACAGAACACCCACATTCGAAGTCGAAACCAGAGGTCAAACAAGCACTGTTCTCGCATTATTCCGTGACCCGAATGGATACGGACGAAACACCACCGTACTTTTACGACCAACCTCCGCCACCGGTTGTTCGACAGACATTTGATCTGAATCCAAACTACAAGATCTATATGCCGGAAGAAAGCAGCTACACCGCACAATTGCTTCCCCCGTTGATTGACCAAGAACGTATTCCGCACTACATAAGATCACATTACGGCGATCCTCCACCGTATTCGACTTTGTGGAAATGAGCTCACTCGTCAGTGGTGTGATACAAAAGACCGTCTGATGTGTAATGAATGATGACCGACCGATCGGTCGCAGAAAAATGTATTTCAAGACCTATGTAACTGTGTCTTTGTTTACGGGAGACAAATCCGCCACTTGTCTACAAACCTACCGAGTTCCGGTCGGCAGTTCTCAACCTCATACGCAATCAGGCGTGACTGCAGTTCTTAACCAGTTCAGTATCGATCAGACAGTTGTATTGGTCCCACTTGAGTATGAGGAAACAGAAAAGGCACCTGTTTCGTTTATTGCAAATTAAACCAATACGGTGTAAATAACGTTTGAACATCTCTCCTTACACCGCATACAAATTGAACAGCTTTTGAAAGCTGAGTATTTTTTTTATTCGATCCGTATAAATTGCCGTTTTGGTAAAACGGCCGTTAGTCTTGCACTGCTATGAGACAGTTTTAGTTGCTGTCCTACCCCTTCGCTTAAGATCGACCGACGAAACAACTGCAGGACACAAAAGGCAGAAAGCAGTATTGAGATGGACGGCTCAGCGCGTTGACTTCCGTTAATTCTGTGGAAACTTGAAGTGAACATCCCGATTAAGTTCCGCCGAAAACCTCGTTACTGATTTTTCGATTGTCACATTATACGGTCGGTCATAATTCAGGAGAGACTGATATTTACATTAACAGATAAGTAATTTTTGAGTGGGTTACCGAGGGAGCATGAATGTTTTAAAGGGATTCGCTTTCGGAGAGGCGAAGTCCTTGTTAAAGTGATGTTCGGAACAGGAAAGTATACGAACGTCGGATTTCCATCAGAAGTGGAGGGAGAGTTACTGAATAAATATTGTCTTCACCTACGGAGATTACCGTTCCAGTGGGAAAGATAAATGGGTTGTGGCACATAGTGCAGCCTTAACCCAACATGACTACATGCAGCAAACACTTGCGCCTACTGGCTTTCAGATGCTTGTAAGACATTGATTGCGACAGCTCCAAACCGCCTCAATGTTGCTACCCAACATTTTTGTTTTTGGTGCATTTCAGGTTTTATAACTTTGCGCCTATAAGAGCGATTAAAGAGTGCGGATGTCTTTGGTAGTCACGAAGAAGTTCCTGAGATCTGAATTTTCATCCGTAAGACAGGAACCAAAACATCCAAATGAAAGTGGAAGGTTAATCGTTGTGTGCACCAAGTTGAGACGGAGATAAGGAGAGTTTTCTAAAAATTTTTGCCCAGATTAAGCCAGTGGTACATATCTGAACGCCAATCGGAACGATACGTTCTTAGGCTAAATAAATCGGTGTAACTCGAACACCAGTAAGATCGAGAGTACTGCAAACCGACGGAAAAATTGGGTCAGATGTGATTAACGCAACTTGATTAAGGCCGCAGGGTTTGAAATGCATGTTGCAGAGATCACAATCCACTAATTTGGTTCCAAGTGATTAATGTGGGACAGAAAGACGTCTCATCTGCGAATGAAAGATTTAACAAGGTGAAAAAGATACATACTTAGTTCCGGACTATTATTATGGTCTACTGATGCACTGATTCCCTTTGATGTGATTCTCTGAAGTGTATTCCGTAGGGCAAAAGAACGGATAGTGGAATAAAGGTTCTTCTGGTACCCGTTATATTTTCATGACCTTCACTTGAACCTGGTTCACTGCTTCTTCAGGTATAACTTGAAATTCGGTATGGTAAGCATACCGTATAGCCCATCCGGTCGCACAGGCACAACGCTGACATATCGTGTTCAGGTGCATAGCGACCGTGATGATAGTTTGCTAGTAGCAAAACCTCTCGGGTAATAGGGAAGCAGGTTATTCGGTATATGACAATTGCTGGTATCGGACTCCCCAACCGTCAACAATCAAGACAGAGAACAAAAACATGCTCAAAACATCTGAATGTATAGTTTTTTGAATTATTAACAAAACCACGATTCTGAATTACAAAAGAATGCGCAACAATGTGTGTGTACACGGGCGAACAGAAGTAGGTGAATCAGAAAGACAGTTAAAACGCGTGATGCGAAAAAGAGAGAAGGGGAGGGGACAGTATGATACAAGATTAACAACCCTAGTTGCACAAGTCTTAGTTGACACCCAAACCGGACCGTTTTTACCGGCGTGATGGGACGGGAAGTACACGGTTTGGATCTGGTTCGATCGGAAGACCGTAGACAATCACGGATTTGCCCACAAGATGCTTCAGTTTGCACGCGGTCGTTGCAGTGGACACGCACAGACCAAGGTTGGGCCGCTTGAGGGAGGGAATGTTTACATCTGAGTCCTCGCACAACCATCGTGTAAGGAAACGCAAAGTGAAACGATCGACATCTCGGTCAGTGACATCCCACAACAGGCCAGCAACAAATGGACTACAGGTGGAATGGAAGGTGAAAATGGGAGAGAGTAGGTAGAGAGGCAGAAATCAAAAGTTGGGGATGATACGCACACGCACACACACTCAAACTTCGAATATACATTTAATCACAAGGTAATATGACTATATGGACTACAAGTAAAATGTGTGCAAAACCATCATCACCAACATCGTACAGTGGGGAACAGCGAAGAGAACTTCTCGCAACCAAATTTACAAATATATATACAAAGTAAGTATAAATGCGGAGAATGGTTGCTCTAAGGTTTAGGTTGAGCTGTCAGTTATGGATTTACCACCGATCCCTACGTCTATATATTGCTTTTGCGTTCAGTGGAGATCGTCCGTCACTGTTTGTTTAAGGACTGAATATTTTCGGTTGGTTCATCAACGTATAGAGACATAACACCCAAAGAGGAACACTATTCCATCCCATCAGCATGGTGTTACGAACGAGGAGATTCGAGATTCGGTGACCGATCAAACTAAGACAAGTAAACACAAAATGACTGTCTATTGTCAGTCTAGTTACGAGGCTATGGCACACAAACGTCAGGTCTGATGGCCCATCATAGTTGAATGCTGTATTGCATCCCGAACAGCGCACATCATCGACACAGCGGAAGACTTCAAACAAATTTCATGTATAAAGAGATGAGTATTAAGCTACAGTGAAATTCGACACAGTATCGGCAAATTAGATCAAATAGTACGCCAATCGAATAAAAAACAGTGAGAATGCGTGTATATCGACTTACCATCCGGCGATTAGATGATTGAACAGAGATGAGTACGGCTCATGGCGACCTTCCCACCGTGGTTTGCCAGAGCTGCAGCCGAGAACAAGGGTGACAGAACGCGCACTCATTCCTTGATTGAACGTTTGCAGGAGGAATCGAGAACCGTTTCCGTGACCCAGGTAGCTGTTGCAAGCAAATAATGAAGGAAACAGTGTATATGACCAAGATCAATCCGTAGTGGATGAGCGCATTGG